ACTGCTGCGAGTGTATTGGCATTCGATTACAGTCGCCGGTGCTCGAATCAAGTTAAAATGTACAAATTCAAATTTTTCAAAGCACCGGAAACAGATATGACCAAAATGAAAGAATATAACATCAGATGAAGAGAAAAAAAAGAATGAACAGACTTATATAGGTAAGTATAAACATACTTACAGAGAATTTGGCGAATAGGAGGACAATATAAGTGAACAGCAGATACCTAGCTAGCTAGATCAGGAACAATTAGATAGATAGATAGATAGATAGATAGATAGATAGATAGATAGATAGAGGAGCGTGTCTCTTTTTTAAATTTTCGATTAATGTAACTATGAAAACAAAATATTTACGTATCATCCATAGATTTTTATGCATGGAATTTTATAATCGTTAATTTTTTATGTCATGGGATATTTTTTGTAAGTTCCCTGAGAATATGCAGTATTGTGGTATATAGAGGATTAAATGATGATTGATAAGTTCTTTTGGTAGATATGCAAATTATAATGAGTGAATGGGTCTTGAATCTGATTAGCTAGGTATAAGGTAGTATGTGATGACCAGCCTCAACCTATCAGCCTCCATTTTAGGCCTTGTACCACAATTGTATTTTATATACAATAAATCTAGACAACAAAAACATTTCGCTTTCATTGTTTGCCTTGACAAAATCGGAAGACGAAACGCGTCGTCAAAAAATAAGATTTTTTCTAATTATACCAATTTGTCTCATCCATAGAATTATTCTGGGAAATTTAACGATAGATAGATAGATAGATAGATAGATAGATCAGGGTGGTGAGAATAATATAATTAAACTAGTAATAAAATAATAGTAATAATGAAGAGTGTATAGAGCCAGAGTGTTGGGATAAAAAAGCAACAATAATAAGATGGAATAAAACTAGTAATAAAATAATAGTAATAATAAAAAGGTCAAGTTAGGTTACGTTGAAGAATCTATCTGCCTGCGAACTTCTCCATCTAGACGCGACAATTTTATGCCCAGGGAACTGTTTATGCATCGCAAAATTTGACTAATGAGAAACAAACTCGGCTGGTTTCGACTATTTCTATTTCGGAATGACGATAAACGTGCGCCAAATGAAGCGTGACTTAAAAATGAGATCAATCTGACAATTTAAATTATAATCACATCTTTGTAAATAATTCTTCCTTTACTTTTATTCAAAATGTATAAATTCAGGTCATTTCTTAGATCTAATGCAGTTAGCAGAAAGAAAAATGTATGCGCTTCGATACAAAAGTAGCTTTACAGCCAAATTACGTTTAAAATACCGGTCCCAGTACGAAGTTAAGCAACGTCGACTCTAGTCAGTATCTGGATGGGTGACCGCTTGGGAATGCAAAGAGCTGTAAGCTTGGATGTGCACCTGGTGTAATGGTTAACAGGTTGGAATTGTTATTCGGTGAACCGACCTACCGGCATTCACTTACGCGCAAATACCCTTGGGAGAGGTATGGATTTACATACAATCCCCCAGCTATGGGTTAATTAGTAAGACTTGTATCACTAAACCATTATTATCTTTTAAAAAGTTCTTACAGTCTAAAAATATTTTCTGGCTTTATATAACCTGCAAAGGGTTGATAAACCGTAGAAAATTAATAAATCAACCAATGAACACAAAAGAAAGGAAAAGAACATCTTGGAATTTTACTGAACGAGGCCGGATCGTAAACCAACCGAAATATAATAAATAGATAATAATATATAGCACAGCCACTTGTATCCGAAAATCCCAATCCCCGTTGCAGACGCCCGCTCAGGCAGATTTGTGTTTGTCCAACACCTACAGCACCTACCTGTAGTTTATACTGCAACTATACTGAGCAGAACTTTCTGGCAAATAGCGTGTTATCTAGCGTGAGCAATGGTCTGAACACGATTAAACGCTCGGCCACGATGCCTGAACAACCTTCCACGCCCTCCCCGTCCCCAACGCTACTGTCTATGCAATTTCACTCACAGGGCTTGGGTCAGCCTGTTGTTTGGTTTTCAGACACTGGAATGCCGAGATCGCCCCCCCCGGACGTATAACATCAAGAAATCACCTTCCTGACAAATCGTCCATGGTGACGTTCGAACCCGAGTCACATGGTCAGAAAGCGAACGTATCAATCACACGGCCGTATCAACCAAAATCCAATAATGAAATAAAGGCATACAAAGACAAAGAAAAAGAATTGGGTACCTCTGTGTGGTGTAATGGTTGATGAGTTTGTTTAGTGAGTTCCGTCCTCACTCATTTAGGCCTTGTGCCGCATCTAAGCTTCACGACAGAATAATGAAACAACGAGAAATACAACGACAACTGATCATACGTATATCTCTAAAGAAACAACTGAACGAGACGCTAGTGGTTATGTTGTTTTTTTCTCGTTTTTTCGTTAGGGAACTTGTACTATTATTCGGGTCGAAGTTAAAAGTGAAAATGCAGGTTTTGATGTTTGTCTGCGCAAGATTATACAACTTCCGCTTTGATAAAAGAAATAGCTACGCCTTCTTCTGATACACACACCAGACGTGTTCCTGAGATACGAGTTTTTGTGGACAAGTTTACGCAGGGATTTTATTTCTTTCTCGTTTTTCTTATTGGCAGAAAATTGTGTGTGAAGACAACTCTTTTATTAAATGAAACAAGAGTAAAATAACAGCGCCTCTTTACTCATGACATCCAAATTCATTCTCTCTCCTTTCGCTCATAGATAGATAGACAGATAGATAGACAGATAGATATGAACAAACTGAGAATAGATAGATAGATAGATAGATAGATAGATAGATAGATAGATAGATAGATAGATATGAACAAACTGAGGATAGATAGATAGATAGATAGATAGATAGATAGATAGATAGATAGATATGAAGAGGATCAGCGTTTCTCAAATTGTTTACCCTTGCGTAACCCTTAAAATAAATTACCCCCTTCAAGGAAACCCTGCGCAAAAACAAAATTATATAGCATATCTTTCTCATTTTATTTTCACTGTTGTTCACGTGGTAAATATAATAGTATATATTTTTGAATAACTGGTTTACGGAAAAATTAATAATTCTTTGTCAAATTTTTCGGTAATGCTAAATAAAATTCATACTGTTCGTTTATAATACTTCATCAGGGAGTTTTCATTCACACACAAAAAAATTTAAATTCAAACGTAAAAAATAAACCTAAGTAACGAATATCATATAAACTATAATATAAATGTAAACAGAAGGAAAACAGGTTTCGAGGTTGAACTTTAAATAAACAAACATGGATTTCATTCTCAATAGAGAGGAGACGATTTTTGTCTTTGCTCTTGATACTTGTTAAATAAGCAATTTTAAGTACAGGTCCCGTTCTCTGAGTGGGCACTGACTAAGGAAGGTGGTTTCACACTGGTGTTGTACAGACATCACTAAATATTTTCCCAATGATTGTTACATTTTTTTAATAATATAATAGGTTAAATAGGATGAGGTCTATATTACAATATTACCATAAGCAAGAATATATTGGGTGTGTTTAGGAATATTACGTATATGAAATTAAATAAAAAGTCAAAAGTACATTAGCTTATCTCACCTGTTTTCATAGAACCCTTGAGGACATTTGCGGAACCTTTGAAAAAAGCTGGGATAGATAGATAGATAGATAGATAGATAGATAGATAGATAGATAGATAGATAGATATGAACAAACTGAGGATAGATAGATAGATAGATAGATAGATAGATAGATAGATAGATAGATATGAACAGGATCAGCGTTTCTCAAATTGTTTACCCTTGCGTAACCCTTAAAATAAATTACCCCCTTCAAGGAAACCCTGCGCAAAAACAATATTATATAGCATATCTTTCTCATTTTATTTTCACTGTTGTTCACGTGGTAAATATCATAGTATATATTTTTAAATAACTGGTTTACGGTAAAATTAATAATTCTTTGTCAAATTTTTCGGTAATGCTAAATAAAATTATATTAGCTTATCTCACCTGTTCTCATAGAACCCTTGAGGACATTTGCGGAACTTTTGAAAAAAGCTGGGATAGATAGATAGATAGATAGATAGATAGATAGATAGATAGATAGATAGATAGATAGATATGAACAGGCTCAGGATAGATAGATAGATAGATAGATAGATAGATAGATAGATAGATAGATAGATAGATAGATGTGAGCAGGCTCAGGATAGATAGATAGATAGATAGATAGATAGATAGATAGATAGATAGATAGATATGAGCAGGCTCAGGATAGATAGATAGATAGATAGATAGATAGATATGAGCAGGCTCAGGGATAGATAGATAGATAGATAGATAGATAGATAGATAGATAGATAGATAGATAGATATAGATCAGGATAGGATGAATGAATGATAGATAGATAGATAGATAGATAGATAGATAGATAGATAGATAGATAGATAGATAGATAGATAGATAGATAAGCTGCGAATAGTGATCTCTCCCAGCTATTTTAACCTAAAAATTCAGATTGAACTACCCACACAGATGACGGCTGGTGTAGAACCAGACACTCTTTTCGAAAGAACTGATAACAGAAAAACGCCCTACTTCTTCTTCTATTGGCAGGGTTACTATCTGTTAGCCCTTTGAGTATCAAATTTTATGTGCCCTAGAAATTCCAACTGTCTCTTCATCATCTGTGAGGAAATTGTCCAACATTCACTTGCATATAGGCGGACGGAAATTACATAACAGATCAGGACTCTTTTCTTTGTATATTTTTTCTCTTTCTTAATACTTAGTTTAGCTTTTGGAAGGCATCTTTCGTTGTCCCAATGCGCCTTCAGACATCAGTGTCGCAGTTTCCGTTCTCTGTTAAAACACTTCCCAAATATTTAAATTGTTGTACTTGCTTGATTTCGGTATCTGCAATTTGTAATTTTCATGTTGGGCTGCACCTTTTGCTAACGACCATGCATTCTGTCTTTTTTCACTTGATTGGAGTGTGCAACTTATATTTTATATCATAAAGAAACAATTTATGCAAAGAATTAAAGAGCAATGTTAATGTGATTAATGGCGAAATCACTTCGCTAACAGTACTTAATGAAACATTAACTTAATATCAATTCCATGAATAATAAGTTCCTTATATTTGAGTTGTTGTCAGATGGAAGACACATGCTAAGTACTTTCGACAAGTTCAAATTGTCATCTTCAGGGTGAAATTTTGTAATACACATGCAAACACTAAGACGCAATATGTGTAAACCGAAAATATGATTTTTTTTTTTAAATTGTGCTATTTATTGACATTTAATAGTTATTTATTGACAGTGCTATGCCACAACGCTAGAGTTTTTGTTCAAATCAATCAAGTGAGAATTTTATTATTTACATTATTCGGACTATTGTCCTCATCTTTGTTGCCATATTTATCACAACGTTTCGGCCGTTGTACGCTCCGGCCTTCTTCAGGTGGTTGGAATGTCAAACTGAACCCTTTATTTCGCTCACTGGGGTAGACTGTTCTAGTTCCACGTGCCATGTTTGATAGATGTCAGTTATCAGTTATCTCCTGTTAATTTCCCTCTCGAAGTTCTCCACCGCCTTAACCGTCTAAATGTCGTAAATATATTAATGCAGCTTATATTTTATATCATAAAATATAATTGCGTTTAGCATGAAGCAGTCTGTCGCTTCTGAGTGTTGATTTCAATGTTCACTTTTTATATATATATGTGTGTGTGTGTGTGAAAAATTCTCAGAGTTAACCTGTAAAAAAGACAATGTGTATAAAGGTAAAATACAATAGGAAAACTGTATTATTAGTCGACGAAACGCGTCGGCTAATAATACAGTTTTTCTGTTGGCTTTTACCTTTACACACACACACACACACACACACACACACACACACACACATATATATATATATATATATATATGTATATATATAAATATATATTCACATATATATATATATATATATATATATATATATATATATATATATATATATATATATAACATTGAAATCAACACTCAGAATTACCAACAATACATTTTAGCTGTAGTTGAAGACATAAAATTGCGTTCAAAATTGGATTTCGGCATTAAATAAGCCATAGAGGTTGATATGCCGCTAAACAAAATCCTAACACAAGTGTGATTTGTGCCTTTATTTTAAAGAGCGTCTAAAATAGGGTGTTCCTACGATTTTTTGCGACATCGCCCCCTTACACATGGAAAAAAATTCCTGTAAAGTAAGTATTCAAAAACATACCGAAATTTCTGGTAAAAGTTTGTTACTGGTTCGTAAACTGACTTTATGATGTAGTAAAAAAATACCAAAGGGAGATAACAAATAACACTTATGCGATTGCTGCTGCTACTACCGTATTAAAGAACAAACAAAGCAAAATTGACCATTGAAAAGTATCTATAATATTTACTTTTTTGGTTAAGGTTAATTTTATTGTTAGGATTAGCGTTGCAACTGTTGACGAAAAATTTAAACGATTTTTGTTCATAATTATAAAATTAAAATGAATCTACACTACTAGCAAGTAATAAAAATTCAGCTAATATTTTTTTCTTCTTCTTGGCCTTCCCTTGTCTGAATTAGATCCGAAAAAAATGTTATTTCGTCTGAAGAACTATTTGAATGTTAATGGCCCTTCTCACTATCAAAATATTCATTGTTTGCGAGAATATCTTATATAGGAATGTGACCTATTTATTCCCAGTTAGCCTCCTGTTGTTTTATACATGTTCTTGGCATATCTTTGAATGTTTTTTTTTTCGAGTAGCATATGTTGAAATACCTTTTTAGTACTCAAAATCCTATATCGCCCACAGAAATTTCCAATCGCCCATAATTTGATGTTTGGTTGATAATCGCCCACCCAACAAATGAAATCGCCCACTGTGGTAAACTCTAGTAAAAAATAATCGAAGTTCTTATAAAAATAATTAATAAACATACATAAAAATTTAGCAACATCAACTACAAACACTGTCATAATGTACTGGCCGTATTCGAGAATTAAAAATGTCTCCTTTCCAGCAACAACACAAACTTTGCTATAACACAAACTTAACTCTGAAAATAGCTCATAAATTAAGCTAAAGCTCTGAGAACGAAATCATTTTGACCAATTCCTGCATATCGTAAATTCAAAGAAATAATCTCCTGTTTGAACACAAGCAAAACAACAACAAAAAAAAAATAACAGGTGTACCTACTCAGTAATTTTTAATGATATATGTATTAGAGATGGAAGGCTGCAAAAATAAAACGATAGACGGATATGAACATAGATAGATAGATAGATAGATAGATAATGAACAAGTTGAGGATAGATAGATAGATAGATAGATGGCACAAGAATTTTGTGACCTGACACTGTTATCAGCAGAAATTTGACCTGAATTGATCACTCTTCCATCTATGTGATTAATTGCGAGGCGTTGGCAACTCGTCCGTCTCGGGAGGCGACAGTGTAGCGTAGTGCTCTGCTCTGACCTGGGCGGGGAATCTGATCATTTGGGGCCTAGCGATGCGTCCTAATGAAAAGATAAACCAGTGTCAGCCCAGATGCAAGCCTTACAAGAAGGTGACGTAGTACGCCCTCCAACCTTGCTTTAGTTGGTCGGCTCTCGATTTGTGTAATGTGCGCCTCTCCAGCTTCTCTTCAGCCGAAGATTCTCATCAGTGTGTGTGTGTGTGTGTGTGTGTGTGTGTGTGTGTGTGTGTGTGTCTTGGCGGTAACTCAAAGTTTTAATTGTCCTAGACAGGGTGCTAACCAAGACAATTTAGCCCTCTCACCAGCCGCAGATTCCCGCGAGGCAATGAATTTTCCTTTTCCTGGACTGGCTTTTTACACCCATGACAGGCTAATATCGGTTGCCTACGATTTAACACACTTATTTGGGGTAAAGATGGACCCGCTTTGATAATCGGTATACTGCCATCACATCTAATATGTGATTGATTACTGAAGATGTGGAAAATTATTTATAATTTTGAGATTTATATAAATCTACTTACACTATTTACATTGTTAGGACTGTTGTCTTCATTTTCATTGCCATATTCACGACGTTTCGGCGGTTGTACGCTTTGGCCTTCTTCAGCTGGAAGTTCCAACCGAACTCTTTATTTAGTCTACAGGGGTAGATTATTCTAATTCCACATGCCATGCCTTTGGATATCTCAGTTTTAGTTAATTCCCCTTTGATAACTCAACTCTCTAAGTTTTTGTTCACTCTACTGTGGCCAGGTACTGAACTGACAACTCTTCTTCAGGTGATATTTGTTGGAATTTAGAACCAAACCCTTTATTTAGATTGTTCTAGTTCCACATGCCATGCCTCTTTTGGATTCCCCAATATCAATCTCCCTTTAACTCAACTCTCTAAGTTTTTGTTCACCCCAGTTGTAACCAGGTATTGAACTCACACCTCTTATGATCAAGTCATTGGATTCAACCAATGTTTTTATCCACTGGGCCATATATGTCAGTTATATTTTCTCAAAAGTATGAGGTGGTGCTGAAAAGTTCTCAGCTCAACCCATTTCCAAAGATCTGACCAAATGGTAAAAAACATCAGAATCTAGTTTGCAATGTAAAAAAAAAAAATAAATCTACCCCCGAAGATCAGACATATTTAAGCATTTCAACATATTTCAAAAAGAAGAACATTTTGTCAGTCAATATATAACAAGACCTAAAGGCTATTAGTAATTAATATACTTTTGTCTTTTATAGAGAAACCAAAATATAACAATAGGTAAAGAGGAAACAAACTAATTGGTTTAAGGGAATGACTCTACAACCAATAAATGGACTTGACAAACCACAAGACCAGAAATTCACATAATAATGTTAGTGTTAAAACACTCTTGAACCATTACCTCAAATCTAACCAAATGATCAAACATTAAAATTTATCATTTGTCTATATTACTGAGATGAGGTATTCTATTTACATTGTTACGACTGTTGTCTTCATCTTTATTGCCATATTCATAACGTTTCGGCTGTTGTATGATCTGACCTTCTTCAGGTGATATTTGTTGGAATTTCCAACCGAAACCTTTATTTAGTCCACAGGGGCAGATTATTCTAATTCCACATGCCATGCCTTTGGATATCTCAGTTTTAGTTAATTCCCCTTTGATAACTCAACTCTCAAAGTTTTTGTTCCCTCTACTGTGGCTAGGTATTGAACTGACAACTCTTTGGGTCAAGTCACTTTTGGATCAATCAACCAATGCTTTTAACCAATTTGTTCTTGGGGAATTAACAGTTGACCCTAGACTTGAAAAAGCTGATATTGTAGTGATCAAACACTATATAAGACGATATTCCTAAACAGAACTATTTTTGATATGAAAATTAAAACAATCCTTGAATAAAAGAACAGTAATGAAAGACAATTAATTAATGAAATAATTTTTTTAAAAGCAATATGCAAATTAGTTAAACTTGAAAAGTGATATTGCCTAGAAGGAGATAATATATAATACAGATGTTGATCGTGCTATCGTTTAAATTGCTATACAATAGAGTTTGGGCGTTTTAATTTTAGAATTCGCATTTATTCCTATAGAGTCCATAGTATAAGATTTACTTAATTAGCTATTATGTTTCTCTAACTAATTTCTATTTTCCCATCTTCACACTATATAATTTTATCTTATTAATTGTCCCCTGTTTTGTCACTAATGAAATAAAAACAATTATTTATACGGAAAATAAGGATCTACGTACATCAAGTTGTCTTTAAATTAAGTGGCAGCAGAAGAATTATGGTTGAACTTTTAAAAGGTAAGCTTAAACATTAATTCAATAATTAAATGCAGCGATTAATTTTGAGTTCTTCTGTAGTTTATTGATGCCTATCGTATCTCCTCCTCCCTAGCTAATGTGATGATCGCCAGATCAAGAGTCCTCCACAGGAGCTAGCTTAAATGCTGCCCGAGAGGGCGACTTTTAAGCTAGCTTATAATAAAACGTGCACTGCAATTTTGAATGCAAAAGGAAAATTTATTCCACTTGCACCATGAAAGCAACGATAAAGGCTAGTATAATAGATTAATATATGTTTTAAACTAGCATAATCTGGCAACTCTGCTCAACGAAAATCGTTCCCTGTGCCTAACTTTTCTAGGGCTTTTGAATGAGCAGTGAATCATTGAAATCGGACCAGTGGGAGGGGAGGAGTTGCTTGGACAGATAAACACGCATACACTGTACTTTATATATAAGACGATTAGTGTGAATAAAAAAAAGTTGGTGTGTGTTTTATTATAAATCCTACTTGTGATAACACAGTATACATAAACAGCTAGCATTTAAAGGAAAGGATTTATGAGAACTTTGAGGAATTAACTGTGGTCTTAACTGAGGACAAAGCATTGTTTTTGAATGAGTGGGTAGAAAAAATTCCTCTTAAGTGCCTGGCTATTTCATTCTCTCACACAGCCGCTAGCCATAAAATTCCCCTATAAAAAATTCCAACCCTTGCATTACACTTCGGTTAGACTGACCTTTTGCGAGTGACCCAAATGTTAGGGATCTGGGGCGAGTTAATTTTCAGAAGGCGATCTGTGATCGTTTAATCTCGCTTAAAAGGCCATGTGCCACCTTCCAAATCGTGGCAAAGTTGGACAGTTTTGAATTGAGTCAATAACACAATCTCTCCTGATAAAAAAAAGAAAATAAATAAATAGATAAAATAAAATAAAATAAATTCTCTTTGGTTTGCAATTAGATTAGTTTCTCTAAATTTAGTTTGTGACTTTTTTTTTTCTCGTTGGCTGGTAAACACAGCCGACGGCAAGATACTTTCTATTTTTTTTTTTTTTCATCTTTTTTCTTTTTTAACAGAAAAGGCCAAACGAGAAAGAGAACGACCTATACCAGTTGCGATAAGATGAGTTAAAAAAGACATTAAGAACTAAAAGAAAGAGATAAATATATCGAAGAAGAAAGAGATTTGAGTGAAAGAGTTTTAAAAAAATGAAAGAAAAAATGGTGGTTGGCTGAATGAAACGGAAAAAATAAGATAAATATCGAAGAAATATTTTACTGAAAGAAAGAAAGAATGAATGAATGAATGAATGAATGAATAAGAAAAAGAACAGATGTTTTACTGAATAAAAGACTGAATGAATGAAAGTGAAAACAAGATGATATTGAGGAAAAAATACTGATGTTATACTGACAGAAGGAAAGAAAGCAAGAAAGAAAGAAAAAAAAGATGATTAAATGAAAAAGAGAAAATAAGATACATATTAAAGAAGAAAGAAAGATGTCTTACTGAAAGGAAAAAAGAAAGAAAAAAGAAAAAGAATGAATGTGAAAAATTGTAAAGATGGACGTTCCAAAAGAAAGAAAGAAGGCAGGATGTATGAATGAAGGAAAGAGAAAAGAATAAGTAAGATAAATATCAAAGCGGAAAAAAGAAAGATGATTTAGTTAAAGAAAGAAAAATCGAAGAAAGAATATAATGATCTGAGTGAAAAAGACACAAAAAAATAAGGATGGATGGCTGGAGGAATGAAAGAAAAAGAAAAAAGAAGGATGGCTGGAGGAATGAAAGAAAAAGAAAAAAGAAGTATGTATGGAGGAATGAAAGAAAAAGAAGAATGGATGGGGGAATGAAGGAAAAAAGAAAAAAGAAGGATGTATGGAGGAATGAAAGAAAAAGAAAAAAAGAAGAATGGATGGGGGAATGAAGGAAAAAAGAAAAAACAAGGATGGATGGAGGAATGAAAGAAAAAGAAAAAAAGAAGAATGGATGGGGGAATGAAGGAAAAAAGAAAAAACAAGGATGGATGGAGGAATGAAAGAAAAAAAAAAGAAGATGAATATCGAAGAAAACCAGATCGTGTAGCGAAAGAAAGATGGCTTTCTCAAAGAAGGAAAAAATATTAGAATGAAAGGAAAATACGATTAAAATCTATGAATTATTAATGGAAGGGGATGAAGGCAAGCAAAGAAAGAATGTATAAAATAAAAATGGAAATAGAGAACGGATGAATATGAAACAAATCGATATATATATATATATATATATATATATATATATATATATATATATATATATATATATATATATATATATAGTGACTAAATTTTCAGCTAACCTGATGAATATATCTGAGGCTTCCTAAGCCAAAAAACATTTTGCTCTTGTATATACATTTTAATTGCATAATAAAATCCTTACATTAGCCTTGATAATGTCCTCAGAGGACGAAACTCCTTTTGTCTTTATTCATATATATATATATATATATATATATATATATATATATATATATATATTGCTGATACCCATTGAAGAACAGGTCCGCCTACAAAATTCTTAAGTTAGAATGCTGAAGGTAACATCAATCAACTAAGTGACAAACATTTACTCATATTAATCCTATATATATATATATATATATATATATATATATATATATATATATATATATATATATATATATATATATATATTAAGCATTTCACACCAAGCAAAGGGAGTGCCACTAGCACGCAGGAGGGTTACACAGAGTGAAAGTGAGAGAAAATCTGGGAATCGGTGGGGTGGGGTGAGAAAAGATAAAAGATCATCAGGGATCATGGCAACAGAGGATGGCATTTGATGCTGCATTTAAATTTTTGAAGAATGTATTTATTACGGAAGCAAGTAAAAGGAAGGGAGTTCCACTGTCGGGAAGTGGGGGGAAAGAAATTGTTAGAGTAGAATTGGCAGTTGCATTTAACTAATTCAACAGTAAAAGGATGGGATCGAGATGTCAATCATCCTATATATATATATATATATATATATATATATATATATATATAAACCGAAACACATACTGCCTTGTAGACGGCGAACTTGGTCTTACTGGTGAGATTCCTGTTCAGAAAGACATCCCTGGGAAGCCTTTTAAATGCTGCAGAGAAAATTCGAACACCATCATGAATACAAGCACAGTGCAGTGATATGAGAACACCATGACGCAATTCATTCCGCCAGAAATATAGAGACGGCATGCTGTACTGCTTGGCATTCCCACCGGAAGACTCAATACGAACATTTCAGAGTGTTTTGGTATCAATCTGAGGACAGTGCAGAGGATTCGATAAGAGTTAGATGAGTCTCATAGTGATTGCGAAGGTACGGCACCTCGGAAAACTCGCTCGGATCGTTCTGATAAGAAAAGAACTCCCAAATTTGTTGGTGAGGACCTCAGACTCAACACGGAAGCTTACATCAAGTGCCTTGAGGAGGTAGTGCTGCCCTGGGTCAAGTGGATGGCTGCTGGAAGACACTATGTCTGGCAACGGGACTCTGCACCACGTCGAACAAGCAGGAGAACCTAACCATAGAATTTCTGCGACTACATTACCCCTTACAACTGGCCACCTAACTTCCCAGACTGCAACCCACTTTATTATGTGTGGGGGTCAGTAGAGCGACAGACCAACAAAACTCCTTGTATAACCAAAGATGAACTGAAGGCAAGGATTATGGCAGCATTCAACAACTTAAACAAGGAGACCGTCCAGAAAAGTTGCAGGTGATTCTGAAATCTTCTGAGGCCATGGTTGAAGTCAATGGCGATTTTACTGAATAAATTTTCTCCTTAGTATTTTAAGATATTTTTGTGTAATTTTGGTAAATATATCTGTTAAAATGAAATGTCAGTGTTATTTTCATTTTAGCGTAATTTAGACGACAATTTATCCATCGCACCTCCCTCCCGCTCTCTCTCCATCTCGCTATATATATATATATATATATATGTGTGTGTGTGTGTGTGTGTGTGTGTGTGTGTGTGTGTGTGTGTATTGTGATGAAATGGATTAAATCCGACAAATATTTTAATATATTTTCTGTTTATACGTTATTTTCATGGTTACAACTTATTCGAGTAAATACTCTTTTTTAATTAAAGTATTAATTACATTCAGCTTGAATGTTCGAGAAATTTCGAGAAAATGTAATTAATACTATTTAATTAAAACGGAGCACTTGCTCAAATAAGTTGTAACCATGAAAATAACGTATAAACAGAAAATATATTAAAATATTTGTCGGATTTAATTCATTTCATCTAATATGTTGTCATTGTTTACGTTAAGTTACGTTTCGGAGCAGAAATGATATATCGAGAAAGATCGTCGATAATGTGTGTTTATAAACAGTAATTTGGACTTTGTTAACCGGAAAGTTCTCCGTGGCTGAATGGTTAAAAAGCACGTCAAGGCTGTTGACGGTATCCGTCTGGGAGTAGAGGTTTCACTCCTCTCAGAGAACGTATATTTTCTAGGAAAAGTTCTCGAACATTCAGTCTAGTAAACATGATTAATACTGTTTTATTAAAAACAGAGCATTTGCTCAAATAAGTCTTATTCATAATTATATCGTATGAATATGATACTATTTGTTGTTACCGCGATAAAACATAGGAAAGTTGCCTTATGGATAGAAGGAGCGATATAATGAAAGACTTTGAAACAAGAAAGGGCAATACCTAAAATCCTTAGGGAAAAATTGACGATTTAATTCACATAGAGACGATACCTGGAATTGGTGTGTCGAGGGTTTGAACAATGGAAAATGACCCAGACTTAGAGGGCAATAATGATTGACATGTGTTCTACGCAGCTGAAAATTCAAGCTGTAAAGCGGAGACTTCATTTTTGTAAACATCGAATTTGGAGTTGATTTCTCCTGGTCGAAATTTGTGTCGAAATACCAGGACAGGATGGATAAGTCACCCACGCTCCCTGAGGAGATTTAGTCAGTGGTAATAATATGAGAGAGTGGAAGAAAGGAATTACCCAGAATTATGAAGTAAGCTGACAACAAAGAGGATTTATCGAAATCTCCCTATGCGCCGTGCCTCGCGCCAGTTTGAGCGAATATCAATAGATACGAATGCGCGAAGCGAATACGTCAGATGGAGACAGAGGAAGGAGAGAGACGGCATAGAGTTCGTCCCAGGCATCGACAATTCGGTCTTGGCCTCCTTGTGATCAAACTTAAATCATAACGTGGGATAAGGTAGGTCTAAGATCGAAGCGATCTTCATCGATCAGCCGCGGTGTTGGAAGTCTTAGACGACCGAGGAGGTTGTTGCACGATTAAATAAACAATATATATATATATATATATATATATATATATATATATATATATATAGTGATATTCGTTTGGAAAAACCTCGGATAACTCAACTTACAGTAGAACTAATCGGTACCCGAGGAAAAATGGGGAATAAAAAAAAGAAAGAATCAAGAACTTTAAAACAAGGCGAAAACAATTGTCCAGTGTTTAAGCTCTAAGTTAAAAAAAAAAAAAAAACGATTAAAAATACAACGACGTAAAGTGCTTAATACACTAGGCAGAGCAAAACGTAAGATAATCCTAAGGAGCCAGGCAAACCTACCTAGGTTTCACCTAAACGGATCTTCAAGGTAAAGCCGGTTATATATATATATATATATATATTTGTATATTTAGGCAGCAATCCTTCCTTTATGCATGTTTCATTAAAAACGACAGACAAGGTACTACGGTTGAGCTTTTTATTTAATTTTTCTTGTGTTCTGACAAGAGCTTTCTTTTCTGGACAAAGAGTGTCTAAGAACTGTCCGAATGTTCTGTGTTTCCGAGCGCTTTCGGCTATACCTTTAGCCATTATCAAGGATGATTCAATTATCAGCTTAGTAGAGTGTGTGAGTTCTGTGTATGTTCACAGTTCTGATCACAGTTCCATCAGAACACATTTAAACACACACTCAGATTTACCCGACACTATTAGGAACATACTAGTAGAAAACACAAATATATTAACTGCATCCACTTGCAAAAAAAAGACTAAAAATAATGGAAGCTCTAATAATAAAAAAAGAAAAAAGCCAACCCTTAACAATATTAACTATGAACAAAGCCACAATGTGCTACCCGTATTCGGAAACTAAAAACATCACTACCACACACTGAACATACACAGAACACACACACTCTACTAAGCTGATAATTGAATCATCCTTGATAATGGCTAAAGGTATAGCCGAAAGCGCTCGGAAACACAGAACATTCGGACAGCTCTTGTCAGAACACAAGAAAAATTAAATAAAAAGCTCAACCGTAGTACCTTGTCTGTCGTTTTAATGAAACATGCATATATATATATATATATATATATATATATATATATATATATATTGTGGCTATGACTTTTTAGTAATCCTATGTTCCTGTGCCATAAATCGATGAACATTTCTTAAAAAGTAATACAAAAGTCATTAATTTGTTCTAGTTCAGAACCGAACATTCGATTTTATCGTACATGCAATAAGAGTAAAACTAAAAATATTTCAGAAGCTTTCAATTTGCCAATGGTGTAATTGGACAGAACTTATTTTAACACACTCAACTGTTTATGGCAATAGCATAATATACAGCCTTACAAATAAACGAAAACAAGTTCTAGATGGGTCCCGAAATTTCCAGAAGTTTGCAGAAAGTTCTAGAAGGCTCCAGAAAGATATAGTATTACGATATGTATATGCTATTATAGAAAAATCGTGTTGGGGTGACATTTAAAATAATGAATTAAACACTTCATTATTTTTTAACTAAAGTTCATCGAATTATGATACAGGAAATCAATTATTTTACAATTATAAATTCATAACCTAATACGTCTCTCTCTCTCTCTCTCTATATTTCTATATATATATATATATATATATATATATATATATATATATATATATATATATATATGATCTATATACGCTGCCGACTAATACTGGTAATACTGCAAAGCTCTTCCATGAAGTGAGCCCTCTTGGTCATTGGCGAAGAATACGTACGGAAAGTTCGCCTTCCTCTCTACC